GAGAGAGAGAGAGAGAGAGAGAGAGAGAGAGAGAGAGAGAGAGAGAAGTTCTTGCACCAATCTGGTTCAGATAGAGGTTACCAGCTCAAAACCCGTTGCAACTATATCAATTTCACACTCAATTGTCCACATAGCGCAATCAAAAGATCAAGGTCACGAGTTTGAATCTGTGCTTGCACAGAGGATAGTCGCTTCAAAGGCCTGGTGGCTTAACCTTCCGTTTGTGGCCCCGTTTAAGGGTCAGGTGCAAACTGGTGAGAGGTTCAAGCTAGGAAACTCCGAACCAGGCCACAATCACAGCCACATTTGTGCTTTTCGAAGCGTAGAAACTCCGAACCAGGTAACTATCGCAGGCACGTTCGTGCTTCCAAGCATGAACACTGAACCAGTGGAGCACACGCCTAACCAAGGTTGGCGGTACTACTAGTTAAGTACCGACACGTTTTCTGAAACCATGCAGCACTTTCTCGTCTTGGCTGCCTCGTCAAGATTTGATTTTCTTTGGCTTGAGGATTACTGTGAGCTAGAACACGAATGTGGCTGTGATAGTGACCTGGTTCCGAGTTTCCGAGCTTGAACCTTGCGCCAGTAGAACCCGACGCCTAAACGGACGGAAACTGAAGGTTAAGGTTTGCTTTGAGATTGACGCCCCCAATTCCTTTCAATCCCCCTTTGAGAGATTTCTTCTGCCGAACTCAGGACTGAAGGAGGGGTACTGATCGACGTCTCTGCTACGGGGTTTCAGAAAGCAAATACAAATCAATAAAGGCAAATACCAATGAACAGAAGCAGATACCAATCAATAAAAGCAAATACCAATCAACGGGCCTAGCTCAGTTGTTGGTACACCCATGAATTGTCAAAGGACAGACGTGACCTCAAATGCAGCCGGAACTACTCTCTTCACCCAAATAGTAGAATGCATGGTCATTATAATAACAGTATTTGGAGCAACTCTCAGTCTAGGAACAGACATAATGCCCTGTGTTCTATTCCGGTGAAAACGGTAGTTGAGTGAATTCTAACTGGGGCCAGTTCTCAAGCTCATTGCCCTTTTATACTACATAACGCAGAAGGGTAGGGGGACGGGGGGGAGGGATGGGAGAAGGCAGATACCAATCCATAGGGTTGAGTGAATTTTAACCGGGCCCAGATAGCGATCAATAGGTTGGTATCTGATTGGGACTGACCCTATCCCAACCAATCAATGTATCTGCTTCTGTTCATTGATTGGCTGTTATCTTCTCAGTCCCAATCAACAGATTATTGGCAGAGGCTGTCTTATGATCGGAGGATCGGAACTCACTTGTATCCTTGTTGTCATAGTGAAAGAAAAATGACCGGACAACCACTCCTAACCTGAGGTTAACCTCAGGTTAACCTGAGGGAACGTGAGGTCGATACACAGCTACTAACATGAGGAACAGCGAGCATAAGGTGGACAGACGACCACTAAGCTGAGGGAAATACCTGAGGAAAAAAATGGAGTGCACTAACCCGAGTTAACCACCTGAGAGAACCTGAGGTTCGTAACCTCAGAGAAGAACTTGAGGTCAACAAACCGCAGAGAGAGCTGACCTGAGGGAAACCAAGCGTGGGGTAAACCAGAGGGAAGCTGGGGGAGAGACAGACAGATGAGGACGAACCTGAGGGAAATCAATATACAAGACTGGGTTTTGCGAGTCGAGATGTGCTAATTCCCCCAATTTTCCAGCGGCGACGGGAGCCATAAGACCTGGAAACGAAAAGAGGTACTTGCTCTTCCTCTGGCCCTTCTTCACAATATCTTTTCCATCACACTTCAAAATCGCTGCCAGGGCAAATCAAACCAACACAAGAAGGACAAGCAGAAGCAGAAGCAAACGTTGAAGCGAAAGTGAAAAGCGAAAAGTGAAAGCGAAAGCGAAAACGAAAACGAAAACGAAAACGAAAACGAAAACGAAAACGAAAACGAAAACGAAAGCAAACAACTTATCAGTAGATTAAAAACAACAAAGATGGTCAAGTGTCATCTGAATGCTCAATTGAGTGCAAAAGTTAGCTGCAACACAATTTTAGGGTCAAGGTTAGAGGCATGGCTACCGCGGACCCAGACCCCGGACCAATCCAGACCCGGACCACCGGGCGGTCCGGTGATGATCCGGACGTCCACATTTCCGAACCATGTCCAGATCGGTCTGGATGGTCCGGATTATATATATATATATATATATCGTCAAAAATATATATATATATATATATATCGTCAAATAGAAATATATATGTGAAACTCCGACGAAACAGTTTGTCACAGCCCCTCGTTTGTTGTCCTCTTCTCCCTCTCTGCCTACGGTTTACCGGGCAGTTCTATTTGACGATATATATATCGTCAAATAGAA